GTTATATGTAACTCATATGATCCAAATCAAAGTAGTCCCATCCCTTGGGTGAGCAAGACCTGTCGGAAACCCAGTTCTAGGGCATGAGCCTTAGAACAAGTGCTGGCCTGCAAGGCGCACGTACTGGGCATACTCCTCTCCCCACACAGCCCCTGCTGTCAGCTTTCTGGAGAGTTCAGTGTAGGCTGGGCCACAAGTGTGCCAAAGCCTCTGGTGGTCCTGCTGGGTATAAATCTGATGACATTTCCTGAGACATGCTGCAGATCACAGAAAAGGATATTTTTGACTGTGGGCCAAGAAAAAGTACACACTGGCACAAGCATCAACCGAAAGGCAAAATAGCCCCTTTCGTCACCTTCACCAATTACAGAGCAATTTATAGTAGGAGTAGTTTCAGGTCTTCAAAACAGTCAGGGGTGGGTTGGAGCAAAGCACAGCGGGTAGGCATTTGCCTTGCACAGGGACAACCCAGGTTCGATTCCCAGCATCTCATATGGTCCCCGGAGCACTGCCAAAAGTAATTCCTGAGTTGCAGAGCCAGGAGTATAACCCCTGTGCATCATCGGGTGTGACCCAAAATGCAAACAAACAAGCAAACAAACAGGCAAGTGATGCTGAGATACACCCAGCTATGGTCAAGAGGAGTGTGCGGTAGAAGAGATCTCTGTCATAGTGTGGCGTAATTTAGCATCCAAAAGAAAATTTCAGGGCTGAAAAGAGAGCTTAATGGTCAATGGGCGGAAGCACGAGTGCATGAGCAGATTCTCAGCATATGTCTCTCATGCCTCTGCCAGGAGCACATCTGGGCACAGTCGAAGTGGCCCTTGAGATCCACTGGAGTGGCCCCAAAAGAATGCTTTGCAAAGCATTTCCAAATAACCTAGCCCACAACCAGATTAAGGTCAGAACCTACATGAACTGAGAATGGCTAGAGCAGGTAATTTCTAGTATTGTTAGGCCTATTAGCACTTTCCTATCAATATATTTTCCTTAGCAAAAATCTCAATGGGACAAGTGATGTGCTGGGCCATTGGATAAAAGGATTATGGACAGATTAGCCATGTTGTTCAAAATTTAATATTCCTGCTCTCCAAAAATCTACAACTTGGAGGCTGCAAATACACGGAGATAGGTGTATCCCCAGTAGCATATCTGCTAATATTTCAGGAAAAGAAAACATTAGCACTGGGCCTACAACTCTTAGTACTTACTTGCTTTCCTCAATATTTTTTCTGATGAGCCGGAATTCCCACTTTAGAGCCAGCCAGCTCTAAGTGAATTTCGTGCTATTTATTGACCAACTCTAAATGAATTCATTATCACATATAGGGAATAGAATGTAAAGAGCTTTTCCTATTTTCCTGTCTAAAAACACTGAAATGTTTGGAAACTCCCAAGTTTCTTGTTCTGTCTTAATTTTGGTTTGGTTTGGTTCATTTGGGTTCTTCAGTCACATCTGGCTCTGCACTCAGGTCACTACTGGCAAGGATTGGGAGACCATATGGAATGCTGTGGATTGAACCCAATCAGAAAGCACCTTACCTGATGTGGTATTGTTCTGGCCTCGTTTTAATTTTGTATAAATACTGAAATGATGGTGTGGAGCGAGAACTCTATAGACTGAGCACACACTTTGCATATGGAAGGCCTGGGTTTTAATCCCTAACATCACATAGTTCCCAGGATATCATGGTTTGGCCCCACAACCAAATCAAACCGACCAACCCACCAAGAAACTCACTTAACAACACTGAGAGGTTCTTGAAAACAGCAATTCAAATGAAATGATATACAAAAACAAAGATTCTCAAAAAGTCAGTATTTTTCCATCATCAGCTAGAATATTTTTCACTGACATTTGGTATGTGTATAAGGTTCTTTAAGTACAAAAGATGCTTCTTATCAGCAAATAATATGTAATTCAGTAATTCATTAGTGACTTTTGAGTTTTGTTTCCAAATGTTGGCCCCAAAGCTAGGTGCACCAGAACCTTATGAAGTATTTATTTAAAGATCTATAATCCTGGGGCTGGAGTGATAGCACAGCGGGTAGGGCGCTCGCCTTGCACGCGGCCGACCCGGGTTCGATCCCCAGCATCCCATATGGTCCCCCGGGCACCGCCAGGAGTGATTCCTGAGTGCAGAGCCAGGAGTGAACCCTGAGCATCGCCAGGCGTGATCCAAAAAGCAAAAAATAAATAAATAAAAATCTTAAAAAAAAAAAAAAGATCTATAATCCTGGGGTCTGTCTCAAGTTAGTGAGGGAATTGGAATGTTCATTTTGCACTCCAGATATCTAGAGCACTATGACATTTCCTGATACTTATCATGCCAGAGAATACGTGAAGCTTGGTCTAGACCTTGAATGTCAACGGGAGAATATCAAAGTGTCCTGCCCCAGCTTGTTCTAAAATATGCTATCCTCACAGAGGCAGCTCATGAAAATGGAGGGGTAGGGGCTTAAAAAAAAAAAGATAAAGAAACAAAGATCTGGTTTGTGTGTCATTTAATCTTTTACCTCCAGACAGTTGATGACAAGATTGACTAGACCACTGAAACAGCCCTGTTTTCTCTTGTGCTTGGGTACATAAAGCTTTATTGAAAGTTGTGTCCGGTCTAAATCAAATCTCTGATATATACTGTGAAGCCTGAGGGATAATACAAAAATCATCTAACAGTATTGGAAAACTGAGATTATTTTGTTCTTAAAGTACACATTACAAAAAGAGATTTCATAAGTAACTGTGTATGGAGGGCTGGAAAGATAGCTCAATGGGTTGACTTCACGCTTTGTACAGGTCCCCTAGAAGCACCAGGAGTGACCTCTAAGCAGAGAGTCAGGAGTAGTTCTGAAGTATTGCTGGGCTGGCCCCCAAAACAATCAAAGCCAAATTTTTTATTTGAGTGAAATTAACTTTACTCTCTAGATAACTGCCAATATAGTGGGAGTTCTACCAGCAGGAAACTTATGCTAAGCAAACGGATAGAGATGAAATATTAGTCAAGGCAGGAAAGCGCTCTTCAAAGAAAGTCACAGCTACAAATAAGAAAACAGCAACCTAAATATAGAAAGTGAGGTGGGCAAATTAGAACCAGTAATTATTTTTAAATACTCCAAAATGTACATATACTGTTTAAGAGAATAAAAACACAAACTAGGCAATAAAATTGGGTTTTTTTGTTTGCTCTTTTTAGTGTTGGGGCTAAAACACAAGGCAAGTAACCCAGTTATTTACATCCTGACCCAAGCAAACAATTTACTTTTTTTTTTTTTTGAGCCATACCCGGTGGTAGTGCTCAGGGGACAATGTGGTGCTGGCACTTGAATAAGCGTTTGCTACATGCAAGGTGAGCCCCTCAACCCCCATACAATCTCCCTACCCCCCACAAGTATACAACTGAAATCATTTTTATTTGGTTTATCTCTTCTTAGAGTATAGCACCCATGGAAAAACAACAATCCAGTTTAAATTACAATAAAGTGGAACACTCAACTAAAGATTCAGAACTTTAACTATCCAAAATGAAAATGTCATCTCAAGGTCTACTTATTAAGTTCTTGGAATTGTGGATGCTGGAGAGATAAGACAGTGGATAAGCAGTCAACCCAGATTCAATTCCCAGCATCCTCTGGGTATGAGGGCAACACCAGGATTAAGTCCTGAGCGTCAGTGGGTGTGGTCCAAAACCCAAAAAACACGGGGGGGGGGGGGGGGGGGGGGCGGGGCGCGGGAGGAGAACATTACTGGAATTTCAAGCCTGGAAATTATATAAGTCCGATTTTATAAAGAGGGAAAAGGCCACTAAGAAGCAGAAAACTTCCTCCTTTCAAAGGGCCTAATGGTGGGCAATTTGTCTAGCCGTAGATTTTAATGAAGTAGGAAAAAGTCAACAAAATAAAGTTCTTGTTGCAGTCTTTCCAGATAGTGTCTATTTCCTGTTCCTCATCCTCACTCATTAACCCTTCCGTTTCTTAAATGTGATTTCTTAGAAAGCCTGGCCATCTGAATTCTAAACATGACATATTACATATATCCAGAATTCTCCAAAGAAGGACAGAAGGTGACTTTGTTTCTTCAATGACAAATACCAATTTTCTCTAGGCTAGTACGTATGATGTGTTAGCCCCCACATTCTAGTTTAACTACAGGGAAAGTAGCCCAAAAAAAAAAAATTTTTTTTTGGACTACTTTATTTCTAAATTCAAATTAGTGATTTTATAAGGCTGGTGATCAGAATCACCATTTAAAATTTCTCAATAGCTAGTCAACCCCGGAGGTGTCAATCTGAAACTGATCTTAAAGCATAATGATTGGCAAACCACTGAGTCCTTAAGGAATGAATAGGCATGTAGAGAAGTACTTGGATGATGAAGTAATGGCAATGATATTCATGTAAATATAGGACAAACATGAAGTGTAGAGGTAGGAAAATGGAGACTGTTTTTCCAGAGGGCTTAAAAAAATTGACAGAGGGCTTTAAAAAATCCCAAACATATAGGCATATTATTTAAAAATACAAAATGCATTTCAAAATAAAATAAATTTTTCTGGATTATCTGTTACTTTAGTTATCAACGATACCATCCCATTACTCCAAGTTATAGGAAGAATACAATGAAAACATCATGTCTCCAGTTTCCATTTCCAGATGATTCTATATTACAGAAGAATACAAGAGGAGATATTAAAAATAAACAAGAATTATCAACATTGTGTGCACAAGTCAATCACCAATTGAAGATAGTAATTTTAGATTGTTTCCCCAAACCCTGAAAAAATGGTGCTAATATAGGTAACCATCTTCATCATTTCCAAACAGAATAAATTAAAATAAAAACACCAATAAAGGCACTGATGGGCTGTAATGTGCTTTCTGAACCAGCTCTAATGACCAACTTATTATTTTTAAAAACTCATGAAACATCACATCAAAAGATGAAATAGAATCCAATCTAAAATGACTGGACCCCAAAAGGCACTGTTCAAAGCACCGAAGTAAAAAGCTCAAAATGTATTCTCTTTATTTGCCTTCCTTCTATGGACCATTCAGTATTTAATGACATTTGCTGTACATTGTACAAAAGGACCTGCAGGCTAAATGAGTATATATAGCTCTGCACACAATCAAAATGTAAATCTGGAAAATGAGTTATAACTAAGCATCACTTATACAGATATGACATTAGACCCTCAATGGGCCAAGATCGAACAACACTTATTACAGCAAAGGACTAGACTTTCAGGAAAGGCTTCGATCTAAACCCAATTTCAGACAAAAGGCCAAAGCACATTCAGCAGGAGCAAAACAGAAACAGAAGAAATTATTTCTAGAAAGGGTGTATTACAAACAGGAACAAACCTGGATTCTTTACTCACCATTTTAATACTGCTGCCAACTATAACATTAAAATCTGTACACACAACAAAGTGGAAAAATGTCCCCAAATGCAGTAATTTTGCCAAAAGAAGGTACTGACTAGTACAATTAACAAGGCTACATTTAAAAACGGTGGCAAAACGGGACTTGGCACCACGTTCACAAAGTAAAAGCATGCACTGTTAATACACTTCAAATGTTTCCCAAAGGAAAGGCCATGGAAGATGGAAAACAAGGGTCATCTTTCACAAAATTCCCTATGATTGAGACAAACAAGCAGAAATCTAAGTGGTCAATTTAGTTAAGGTATTAAGTAGCAGCAAAGTCACTGGTTCTATTTGGAAATAAGCAATTTGCATTTCTAATGGGCAGCTGCCCTGGGTATAGCTGTATCCAAGAAGCTGACTTATCATACAACATCAACATTTATCTACTAATTTGGTATCAGCATCAGTTTAACCAGTTTAACCTTCAATGGTTAAGTTTAAAAAAATAGAGAGCTAGCATACTTCATACAAACTCTCCAAGGTAAATACCGTTTAGAAATCATACCAACTGGTATTATTAACAGGACAGTAATGTGAATTTCATCCAAAAAGGCTGTAAATATAGTCCCAAGAACTGTAAAGAACTAAGTCTTTGTGGAAATATTATATTCTGACCATACCAAGAGTTAAAAACCAAAAGTTCCTACTAAGAGGAACATTTTCAAGGTGATCTGTCACATCAGGTGCATAGTTAAGACTGTTTTAATAAAGGATTCTTTCACAAAGAAGTAAAATTTAGTAAAGTTATTCTTTTCTTGAATTAAAAAAAAACCTTAAAAAGGAACTATTGGTGCTGGACAAGAAGGGGAAAAATGACTAAGCTATATATTGAAGTTCTGGAATGCAGCACCTCAACTTCACATCTGCCTCAAACAGTATGAAATCCAACAGATGACTCGCAATAGAATCAAACTTTATAAGTGTTCAAATTCCAATGTCTGATATTAGCAACTCAAGTCAATTAAGAGTTCCTTAATACAGAAGATTGTGCTAAAGAGTTCTAAGATTTTGCATGCCGCCGCCATTCCCTGGTCCCGTTCATGCTTGCAGCTGCCCCGTGAGGACAGCAAAGAAGTCTGGCAACACTCCACACTGTATTAACTAGAAAAGAAGAACATTTCATTAGAAAAAGTTTATAAAACCAAGAGCCATCACACAGCACGGAAGACAGATGATTCAAAGCTTTACCGTTTACTAAGGTCAGCACTCTTCAATAAAGTCCACATTCCTTCAAGTTGTTTTTAATGATGACATCTGTAACAGCATCAAAAACAAACTGCACATTCTTGGTGTCTGTGGCACAGGTGAAGTGGGTGTAGATCTCCTTGGTATCTTTTCTTCTATTCAGATCTTCAAACTGGCACTGAATGTAAGCAGCTGCTTCTTCATATGTGTTGGAACCTGAAAGACACCCAATATTTTGGGTTCAAATTGTAATAGCTCATCTAAATTAGGCCATCACCATTTACTTACAGCGAGAAGGAAAAAGACCCAGTGAACACACAGATTTCTGTATTTCTAAAGTCACTCAGTTTTCAGTTAAAAAACAAACCTAAAAGGAAACTAAAGGAGGAAGAGCAGAGCAGGCTGCATTTCTAGGAGAATTCATTTGTTTAAAAGGTGAAGAGGGGAAAAAAAAGTTAAGAGGGGCTGGACTAATGGCACAGCAGGTGCCTTGCATGCGGCAGACCCAGGTTCAATATGGTCCCCAAGTATCAATATGGTCACCAAGTAATTCCTGAGCACAGTACCAGGAGTAACTACTGAGTATTGCCATGTGTGGCCCAAGACACAAAACAAAAAACTAAAAATAAATAATAAAAAGTTGGAGAGCCTGTGTATCTTGCTGTGATCTTGAAATAACTAACAACTCGAAAGGCTAAGTCATGTTTACTTTGAAAATCATCCCAATTTTAAGAGGGCTTAGCTCTGGTTAAATAAACAGATAAACTAATAGGTACAACAGGGAAGAACCATACACTTCCAAATGGTCAATGTTATGTCATGGTGTTTGAATTTTTAAAACAAGACCCAAAGTTGCAACAACGTTATTTATCACTTTTAACCACTTGCTTCCTCCAACAACCTGTCTCCCTGTGAGTTTTCAGAACCCTAGAAACTAGCTACAAAGCCAGAAAAATTCAACAAAGATGAGTTATTCCTGTGACATAGAGGCTATTTCTACAACATAAAGACATTAAAAACTGAGTATAAAAATTACTAACAAAGAAAATCTTAAAGACAAAATACTCTTTAGACTAAAAAAACAACAGCTAGAAGATAGTTTATAGATGCCTGAAATAGGTTCCCTGAGATCTGTAGACATTCTGTAAACACTTGACTGAAAATTGTCTGGTACAAAAATATAATGAGGGAGGGGAATCACAAAAATCCTTAAGAAAATCAAAGCAAGAGACCTTGGAAGTAACCAAAAAAAAAGAACATGACACTGAGGGTTCTTCACTATGTATGAAGATTCCCAGCAAGAACATTCATGTCAATCCTTATTCTTGTCTTAAGTCGTTTTCTCCCATCCTCAAAGATCACTAAAAGTTTTCTTTAAATTAATCTAATTCTTCTATCTCTCCTCATTCTCAAAAGATGAAGAATTTCCAATTTTCCTGAGGAAAAGAGGCCATCTGAGGCTTAAACTACATCTTCATGTTTTGGCCTGCCAGTCCACTTAAAGTCACCTACAGGGAGGATGCTCAAGAGGATGGCATGCATGCAATGCATGGGGGAGATCTGGATGTAATCCCAGACAATGTATATGTCATGTCTAGCACCACTGGGCGGTAGTCCTTAGCCCATCAGTCATGTCTGTATTTATGTGGCTTTCCTGACAACATCCCAGATCCTACCAATATTTTGCCGTTAGTTTGTTTCATTTCCCTTGCTGTTAGGGTTGAGTTTTCCTCAACGCAATTTTTTTAATGTCACAAAACATTTCACCTATGCTACCTTTTGTCTACTTTATGGTTTGGGATCTTACAGCTAGGTTTTTAAACTACTTCATTTTTTTATATGTGGGGTTAGAATCGTTCAGCTTCTTTTCTAGGTTTTGGAGCCACACCTAGCACAGCTCGGGGTCCATGCAATGCCAGTGACTGATGCTGGCAATCTGCAGGCAAAGCAAGCACTCAAGCCTTCAAGCTATCTGACCAGGTTTTATTCTTTTTTTGCTGTTGTTTTGGTTTTGGGGTCACATCCAGTGGTCCTCAGGGCTTACTCCTGGCTCTGCGCTCGGGGCCCAGAAATCCTGGGACTATATAGGCTGCTGGGGATTGAGCCCCAGTAAACCATGTACAAGGCAAGCATCCTACCTACTATACTATTTCTCCAACCACCAGGCTTCACTATTTTGCATGTGTCAATCCCATTTTCCCAGTACTATTTAGCTGACGAGAAATGCTTCTCCATTGTATGTTCATAGATCCTCTGTCACTATACTATTTCTCCAACCACCAGGCTTCACTATTTTGCATGTGTCGATCCCATTTTCCCAGTACTATTTAGCTGCAGAGAAATGCTTCTCCACTGTATGTTCATAGACCCTCTGTCATAGATTAAATACCGGTAAATGTGCGGATTTATGTCTAAGGTCCATCTACTCCACTGATCCATGTTATCTTTTGTGTTTCAATACCATAGGTTATTTTCTGTTTGCTGCACTCCAATCCAAATCAAAATTCTAATGACATTAAGAAATGATAACAAAAAAGTATTAAGCTTCATATGGAATTTACTAGAAAAAGATGGAAAAAAAATGCTTCCAGGAGTCTTGTCACAGTCCTGTTGCCTAGTCCTAGCTGCATACTTTTTTGTTGTGTTTGGGTCCACACCCGGCTCAGTGCTAGAAAATCATGTGCTCAAGTGTAGTGAACTATCTACCTGGGTTCTTAAGAAATGTTTCCATTCTTGAGCTGGAGATACAGTACAGTTGGTAATGCACCTGCCCTGCAGGTACCCAAACAGAGTTCAATCCCCAGAAACCTACTTTTGGAGGATCCTCAAGACCCTCAGAAGTGATCCCTGAACCAGAGTCAGGGGTAAGCCCTGGCACAGCCAGATATACCCCCCAAATCCCAATATCTCCCACCCCACCAAGTCTGCATTTCCACTCTTGATTTTGATAGTGTATCTTTTTTTGTTTTGTCTTTGGGCCACACCTGGATGTGCTCAGGGATCTGTGTATTCGGCTCTGTGCTCAGGGATCACTCATGGCAGAGGTGCTTACAGTGCTCAGGGGACCACACTGGGTATCAGGGATTGAATCCAGGTTAGTCTTATCAAGCCATATGTGCTACCTGTTATACTCTCTCTCTGGCTCGATCCCTGTATCTTCACCTTCAGAGTCCTTACGTTATCAATTTGACTTTCTTAATATCTATATTACTGCAATCTGCAATCTTTCTAAAGCGTAGTCCTTATTACATCATATACCCCAATGACATTCAATAGCTCCCTACTCACTCTGCATGAGATACAAGACTCTATGATCATCTCTGTCCATCGTTCCAACAACTTCGTAACATTTTTAGACCCCAACAATACCAAATTCCTTCTAGGTTATTGAACAGATTCATTTCCTCTCTTCCTCCACAGTCCCTCTCTCCCTTTCCCCCCAACCTCTCTCACAACTCTCTCAGTTTCTGAGCACCCAGCAGTCCTAGGGGGATAACGAAGTGCCAGGGATCAAACCCAAGCCTCCAGCATGCAAAGCATAGACTCAGCCACTGAGCTCTCTCGCTACCCCTGGAGATCTTCTCTTTACCTTCATATTCTCATTCATGGTACTTCCACTTTTTATTTCCTCGTTTGCCTATGGATTTCTTTTTTCTTTTTTTGGCTTTTTGGGTCACACCCGGCGATGCACAGGAGTTACTCCTGGCTTTGCACTCAGGAATCACTCCTGGCGGTGCTCCACGGACCATATGGGATGCTGGGAACCGAATCCAGGTTAGCCGCGTGCAAGGCAAATGCCCTACCCACTGTGCTATCACTCCAGCCCCGCCTATGGATTTCTAACAATCACTTATTCCTGTACTGGAACTCATTTCCTCCAGAAAAAGACTATGCTGACTCCGCAGGAGTGAGCCACTTCGCCTTTTCTTCTATTAATGAACATTTAACACTATGATGAAATTGTTTACGTTTTTCTCTAAACAATTAAATGAGTTTCTTGAAACACAGTAATATCTCCTGATATTTGTTCAAAGACACTGATATTAAATTTTGATTTTTATCTTTACTATCTTAAAAAAATAAGGAAAATGGGGCCTGGAGAGTTCACACAGCAAGTGGTTAAGGTGATTCCCTTGCATGCAGTCAAGCTGGGTTCTTGCTCCACCACTTCATATGAGCCCTGCCAGGTGCGACCCCCAAAACAAGAAACAAACAAAGAAAAGCAGAAAACTTTAACACAGTAAACTCATCTATATCTAGCAAAGGACTTTAGACATAAGGACTCTTAGCTCACACGCTTAACACTGATACCAATTACCAGTAACCACTAAGGTGTAACTTAAGGCTAGACATGCATTGTCCAAAACGAAACAGGAGTTGTAGGAACATCAATAAAGTACCTGACTTTGACCTCCAATATAATCTTACAAAACAGTCTACCTGTGTATTCTGGGTAGCAGATGGTTAACGGACTCCTCTTTATTTTTTCCTCAAAAAGGTCTTTCTTGTTGAGGAAGAGAATGATTGAAGTGTCTGTGAACCATTTGTTGTTACAGATGCTGTCGAACAGTTTCATGCTTTCATGCATTCGATTCTAAAAAACAAGGATGACAGGTCAACATCAAAAAAATGTTAACTTACAAACATTAACTGCTAGTGAGAAAAATATACCAAGAATCAAAGCACTAAAGAGTATTATGAAAAACGATTAAGTGATAAAACAAAAACCAGTTATCCTCACCATTGTGATTCTTAAGATGTGAGAAGGAATAGCTAACGAACAATTTATCACGTCCACTTAGACAAGATAAGTCACTTTTTTTCCCCATGAGGGGGTCTTACAGTGGAGAAAAGGTCCACACAAGCACCAGGAGGTAATACTCAAGGAACAAACGCAATGATGGGGATAAAACCAACCAGAGACAGCTACATGCAAGGCAAATGCTTACTTCCTGTACTAACTCTCCAGCCTCACTGTTACACTTTTTTCTTTTTGGGCCACACCTGTCTATGCTCAGAAGTTACTCCCAGCTCTGTGCTCAGTAATTACTCCTGTTTGGCGCTTGGGGGACCAAATGGGATGTCAGAAATAGAAGTGGGTCAGCCATGTGCAAGGCAAGTACTTTAATCCTTATACTATCTCTCCGGCCCCACATTTCTTAAGAGTAAAAGGGCAAAGAGACAATCATCAAGTAATATCCCAACTCTCCAACAAGTGCAAACTCCAGCACAAGAAGCGGTTTATGTTAGAGAATGTCTTAATCATCATGTCATATAATTAATCTGGTGTATTCTGCTTTTTAAAAATATGTATATGGCATTCATTTCAGAGGCGGGTGGGCAATGGCCTTTAGATTTTAATACACTATTACAAATCCCATTAAAGTATATAAGAATAAAATAATAAAATTTAAAAACATAGCAGAGCATGATTTAACATTCTGAATTTCACTGACATAAAGAAAAATTAAGAATATTAAGTTCTGGTTCAATGAACAAATGGATACACAACCTCTACAAGTTATTTTCTACTTTTTGACTGCACTAGATAAGTATTTTTGGTTTTGTTTTTTAACCAGAAGCTTACACATACCATCTCCTCATCCTCAGCCAGAACAAGGTCATAATCACTGAGGGCCACACAGAAGATAATTGCTGTCACCCCCTCGAAACAGTGAATCCACTTTTTTCGTTCTGATCTCTGGCCACCTACATCAAACATCCTAAGGAGAAAGAACAAATTGAGAAAGGTCACACACGCACACTCACACACACTCTCACACACCTCTCCCCAGTATCGGTTAAGGAAGTTCCCTAACTGGAATGATTAGGGAACTTCCCACCACCGTGTATTCAAAAATCCTATTTACAATTTGAAAGACAAACAAGGAGACAAAATAGTCAAAATAATTGCCTGAGATTAAAAATAAAATGTGACAAAACAAAATTTAGAAATTCTCATTATAAAATAGCTAAGTCTCTCTTCTATAAAAGCTTCTATCACACATGCCAAAAGCCAGCAGAATAAGCAATGAAACAGATTAAAGGAAGGAGGGGATATGAGGGGCTAAGGAATACAGATCAATAAGAATAACAACTAATATGTAAGTGGCTACCACAATGCCAGATATTATTCTAAGTAGTAAATAGATGAACTCACTTTATTCTGCAAATATTTTAGCACTATTTTTCCTGTTTTCCAGATAAAGAAACTGAGGCACAGATATGTTCAACGGTCCACCTAAAGGCAAATCACTAGTAAATAGAACGGGGATCTAAACCCAGACACGCTGACTCAAGCTCCCAAGCTCTTACCCCATTACTGCCTGACCTCTCTGAACGGTTCACACCTCGACTTACAACAATGGAAGACTATGTCCCGACTCTGCACTCTGGGCTTCCAGAACCTCTGTCTCCTGATTCAAAAGTTTGTTTTCCTTACTTTTAGAAAAATGATCTGAGACTGAAAATTATTTAGGTAAAAATTATGCGCACACACACACACACATATATAGTGTATATGTTGTGTTTGGAACACATCTGGGGATGCTCAGGGAATGTCTCTGCATTTAGGAATTATTTCTGGAGGTACTCTGGGGACCATTTGGGATGCCAAGGACTGAACCTGGGTCAGTTACATGTAAGATAAACACCTTACCCACTGTACTATTGGTCTGGCCCCAAAACAAATTATATTTTATAGAATATCTCTAAGAACTCAATATCTAAAACCAAAACTTGTTGTTTTTCATAGTATCTAAAAATATTTCCCCACTCTAAGTCTTAGTTGACCTTAATAATAATAATACAAGTTCCCACTGAAGACACACTTATGTTCCACTCAAAATTAATTTTATTGCACTAGCCCAGTATGACTTAATATTCTAAGTCAGCTGCCAAACTCTGTCAACAACTACCTCTTATAGTACAAGGAGCACCTACACATTGTCATTTTGTAATAGAATAAGAGGCATGCATGTAAATGGTGACAGACACTCTGAAGACTTTGTTTTGGTGTCATGCTCAGTGGTACTCAGGAGCTACTCGGGGCTTTGTGCTCAGGGGGTCAGGTGATGGCAGGGGTCAGTCCCAGGCCTACTGCATAAAAAGCATGCTGGGCTCAGCCTGTTGAGAGCTCTCTCAAGTCCTAATCTTTTCTTCTTCCTTTTTGATAACACAGCAGTGCTCAGGCATTATTCCTGGCAGTGCTCAGGGTACCAGTACCTTACTATATGGTGCCAGAGATCAAATCAGCCGGCAAGGGCAAGGCCAGCACCTTAACCCCCGTACTATCTCCCCAGGCCTGGCCCTGAACATTTTTTTTAGGCACATCTGGTGTGCTTAGGGGTTACTCCTGGCTCCACACCAGGAATTACTCCAGGCAGGGGACCATATGGGATGCTGGGGATCGAACCCAGGTTGGCTGGGTACAAGGCAAACACCCTACCTACTGTACTATTGCTCTGGTCTTTGAACATTTTTGAAAGTTAAACTCCGCCAAACTGATTTAGTGTGAAAGATCTACAGACATCCGGAGTCCAAACTGACAGACTTCTTGCTTCAGAGACTTAGAGAAGAGGTAACTATAAATGTAATCATAATGAAGAACAGTTATTTCCTCATGACTACTACTTTTTCTTTTAGTTGATCATATACTATTTTCACAAACTTTAGTCATAACACCTGGAATGATGCCATCACAACTTGAGGTTAGTGCAGGATCATATCACAGGTTTTAGGACAACTAATATTTATTTCACCATTAAGTCTTGCATGGGGAACATCAATCATTTTAGCTTATTTTCCATTTCCTTCATGATGGCCATAAAACTAAAGAACACTGTGACATTCCAAAGTAGGGTTTTACAACATATCAATATTTACATTATCATTCACTGAAACATCAACAGTTTACAAACATTACCTCATAACTGAGAGGCAAGTTAGCAATTACACAATGCCTTGCATATAGCAGATGCTCAATAAATGTTTGAATGAATGGATAGTGGCATTGCCTAGAGAGAAGAGGAAACAAAGGAAGAAGTGATAGTACTTCACAGCAAGATATCTACATGCCAATAATAAAGTGGGTGCATCTGGCTTCTGTCCTAACATAAAACACACCAGTAAAGAGCCAAAGAGATAGTACAGTGGTTAGGGCACTTTCCTTACACGCTTTGATCCCCTCCATCCCTCATGGTTCACAGCCTGGAGTAACCCCTGAGCATTGCAGGGTGTGGCCAAAAAAACAAAACAAAACAAAAAGCAACAAAAAAGCTCCACCAGTAAGATCAATCTGTGACAACATCAACGAATAAGTTTCCCACACAAAATAAAAGTCACAACATTTAATTATCAACATATCATTTTATACACGGCTCTAAAGAGACATCTCTGAGTTTCACAGGTGAGAATCCATGTGGCCTTTGCTACTCCTATCAAATAAATTCATCAGTAGAAAGCGAGCATCTACTCTATTTTCAAAATATTTACCTAAACTTATTTTCCTGTACCAGTTATCAAATTTGTTTTGGTGTATTAAGATTTTAAGATCTCAACTGGTATCTAGTAATGTCTAAATTCTTGGATTTCACGAATCCTGTGAAGCTAGTGTTTTCAGGACAAAGAAAACAGAACAGCTCTACACTAGAAATCACATTTACATGCAATAATGCTTAATGCCACATTCTACAAACAAGCCTAAGCAAAAGCTAAAAAGTGTATCATATATTCAAGGGGTAAATTTATTCCTAAGCTCAAAGTCACAAAAACAAAAAGTAGGAACCAGAAAGATCTAATATATACAGTGGACACGGCACAGAAGACAAGCTGAAACTTATCCGAGAACTGCTAATGCTGACGAGAAAACCCTTTGTGTGAGAGAACTAGAATTCTCTTTCTGAAACAATCCCTAGTTCAATGTCGTGGCACCTTCCCAAAATACCTCCACCACAGGTCGGCTTTTCATTCTACGCAGTATTATGAATTCAGTTGTGCAGACACTCTGCACAAACTACTTTATAAGCCATAGCAATATTAACTCCATTCCAGTAAACTTAAAAAAAAATACAATCCAGTTAGAAATGATCAACACTGATGAGAAAAGCAATTCTATTTTAATATCAAAATAGCAGAACAAAGCTACATAACTAAGCCACAAAATTGGTTTTCTAGTCTTTTAATACTGTTGTAACCCTTCTAAACAACAAACATTCAATACCTGTTTTGGTGATTCCAACAAAAAAGCAGCTGAAAAGAACAAAATTAAAAATAAAATAAATCGGTAACAATATGATTAAATCTACTGACAGGTAAGTTACAACTTAATTCTGAATTTACAGTCCTCCAAGCAGACAGATGTAATTTATGCTATTTGGAAAAATGAGAAATGTTTGGGGTTGATTTAGTTAAAAATTCATACAGAAACTGATGAATGTAATAGTAAGTTTTCTGTTTCTTTTGTTGGTTTTGGGGGCCACACCCAGCAATGCTCGGGGGTTACTCCTGGCTCTACACTCAGGAATTACTCCTGGCGGTACTCAGGGGACCACCCGGGTTGGCTGCATGCAAGGCAAATGCCTTACCAGCTGTACTATCTCTCTGGCCCTGCAATGATTAAGTTTTCTAAATCAGTGGTTTTCACAGTCATTTTACAAACCTGCAGACTAGCAAGAAATTTCTGACAGACATCAGTCCACGGACTGACAACTGAAAACCACTGTTTTAAACCAAAGAATACTGCCAAAAGAAATTCTGCCTTAATTAAGAGACACTAACTAAAGGAAAGATAGGTGTTTAGCACACAAAGCAGAAGAAAATGACTTACTTGAAGTATAGCTCTTTGAAGGTGAAATGCGTTTCCACAATGCCTGTGGTCTTCACTCTTGTTCGCAGGACATCTTGCTGTGTTGGAATGTAGTTGTTTTGGGATATTCTGTCCAAATCATTTAGGTAACTAAATAAAACACATATTTAATTTTACATGTAAAGCTAATCACGTGCACAGCAGTTTAAACTATACTAGTTCTTTGTCTACAGTACTTTTTTTTTTTGGCTATGCCAGGGTTGTTCTAGAACCCAGGACCACACACATGCAAGATAAGTACTATTACTGAGCTCCATTCCTACATTCAAAAAAAGTAGATGCTGATCTTGTTACTTCGTGTGGCAGCATAAAACTATAATGTTCAAGATCACATAAATATTAATGAGAAAAAAAGCAATTCAGCACAGGGCAAGAATGTAGATTGTGTAGGAGCTGGAGAGAAGGCAGAATGTGCTGAGTACACGCTTTGTATGCAGAGGCCCTCGTTTAATCCTCTGCATTTCACAGTCCCCCAAGTACCACCTGGACTGATCCCCAAACACAGACCCAGAAATAGCCCCTGAGTACGACTGGATATAACCCCCAAAGAAAAGACAAACAAATATAAATAATGTACATTCAACAAATGCTAAAGTGGTTTTAATTCCATAGAATTAAACTCTAAAGGCCAATGGGGGTGGGGGGTGCCGCAGGGAGAAATATAAAAGTGTTGGAAGTGTTGTGCTTATTCAAGATTCCTGAAAATTTTAGTACTGAATCAAACATTATTGTGTAACACAAAACCTAAACCAAAAAATAATTAATTTCTTCAGGGCTTGAACAAGAGCACAGCAGGTAGGGCATTTGCCTTGCACATGGCCCACCAGGTTCAATCCCCAGCATCCCATATGGTCCCCCAGCACCACCAGGAGTAATTCCTGAGTGCAGAGCCAGGAGTAACCCCTGAGCATTGCTGGCTGTGACCCAAAAAAGCAAAATAATAATAATAATAATAATTTCTTAAAAGTTAAACTAAACTCTTCACAATTTCAGTTCCAGGAGATAGTCTGGCTAGAAAAATGAAAAGTAGGTGGCACCATTGTAAGTGTAATTAATGGTCTGTTACAAATTAAGTACCATCATTAATATTAAGGAACCAGTTAAGCTTGTACTAATAATTGTGTGTGTGTGGGCGGGGGGAGACGGGGAGAGACTTGGTGTGTGCTCTATCATCTTCAGGTGCAGTCAGAGGATTCAGAGCTTACTGCATGTATAATGAAAAAGGCAATCATGATCCAGCATTATTTAATGACTTCTGAGAAAACAAACGATCAATATCTACAATTGGAAATATTATTATAGGAGCCAAGAGGGGCCAAAGAACTGCTCAGTGGGCTGAGAGGATGCTTTGCACTAGAGGCGCAAGTTTAAGATGCGGTTTGGCCTGAGCACCTGTTGGTGTGCCAAGTGTGGCTTAAATTACGACCCCTACTCCCATCCCTACTGAGTAAATCATTAATGGCTCTTCCATAAAACTAGATACTAATTCCAGTATTAAAGAAACTATTATGAGAAAATATCTTAATGCTTAAATGTACATTTATTTACTACAGAGATGAATACAGGTATCAGAAACATACCAAGCTCGCTCACCCACCCCTCCCCAAGCACATTAAATTTTTAAAAAATCCTGAAGAAAAGCTTTATTTTAAAAAATGTTATAAAAGAAGCAAAACTGAACAGTGTGTAAAGTAGCTCAACAGAAGTATCAATCATAAGCTCTCTATGACCATTTAACCAAGAGAATTTCTTTGCCAAATAGATGCCTCAATTTTGTTCCAAGACTCAGCTCTCAGTACAAAGTCTGCCATTGTAATCTGGCAAAAATTCTTTAAGCGGTGACTAGTAGTAGAGAAATCCATACAACAGCCAACCACAGAGAGCAGGGTCCACAGAAAAGAGCTATCACATTTCTGGTTTCCCCTATAAGCTGACAATCAATGCACAGCCTTCACGCAGAGGGTAGTAACAGAACCAAAAGAGATCCTGGATCCAGGGGTTGGAGAGATAGCACAGCAGGTAGGGCATTTGCCTTGCACGCAGCTTGACCCGGGTTCAATTCCCAGCATCCCATATGGTCCCCTGAGCACCGCCAGAGTAACTCCTGAGTACAGAGCCAGGAGTAACCCCTGTGCATTGCCGGGTTGACCCAAAAAAGCAATAAATAAATAAAATGTTTTAAAAAAAAAAAGAGAGATCCTGGATCCAGTGGCAACTGAGTTCTCTCCTAGTTCACTTGCTTATCATAAATAGCCATGGCACATATTTTTTTCCCTCCATACAGACAGCTTTATGTAAAATATATAAACATTTGTACAAATTGGTACAGATTGCATAAATATGGCAAGTATGCTTGATTTACAGGTGTGCATGTACAATGCTGTGCAAAGTATCACAATACTACAATTTCAAAAATTATTCAAATTGGATCCAAGTAAAGCAATTAGTGAAAATACCTATGTAGAATTAAAATCTCAGAACAAAATTTAAAGTATTTTCAGCAAAAGTTCACACATTTAAAATAATTTTATTCATTTTATTTGTATATGTCAAAATACATTCTTATTTCCAAAATAGTGGATTTTGCAGTTAGTTTCATGCAGACACAAGGTCTACTCAATACTACCAATAAAATCAATATAGCACAGTAGCCGTTCAGTTTTAGATACAAAGATAAATAACCTAAATACAAAACACGAAAACATCAGAAACATGTATTTCACTATTCTTCACAGACACCCAAACTCCACGAATATCATCCTTAGCACATCTGACTATTGTTGCATGGCACAACTTTTATGTTGCCAAGTCTCTGACTGACATTCCAAAAATGAATTATTTTTCTCCAAGTCATATAAAATGACTCTACAAATTCTAACCTGAGACAACTGTTAAGACTCCATAAACATCTAAGAATGTTCTTTAAACATCTTCTTAGGGATGAACAATACTTTTCTAGGGTCACCAAGTTATTTTCTGTTTTAAGTTCACAAAGAAAAACTACTTACTAGGAAGCAGAATCATTGAGCTGATACTCTCGAGATCTGCTGAAGCAAGCTTGCACTCCACCGTCAAGCCATAACCGTCTGATGACTCCTGCTAGTTCCGGGGTCATGACTCCTTCTTCGGCACTGCCAGCTAAAACGAATAACTGCCGGGCATCATCCTGGAAATAGCAGGGAAGAAAGAGGGACAGATGAGTTTCCATTTCTAGGAAGACTGAATAGTCTCTTAAAGAAAGAGCCCTCCCTTGGGGGCTGGAGTGATAGCACAGTGGGTAGGGCGTTTGCCTTGTACGCGGCCGACCTGGGTTCAATTCCCAGCATCCCTATATGGTCCCCTGAGCACTGCCAGGAGTAATTTCTAAGCGCAAAGTCAGGAGTAACCCTGAGCATCGCCTGGTGTGACCCAAAAAGAAAAAAAAAAAAAAAAAGATCCCTCTCTTGACATAGTGTTCCGAGAGAATGTAATAATGAAGGCTTTCCCCTTCTTATGTCAATACAGTTGAAAGTGGAGAGCCGGGCAGGGGAATATTTTCACTCCTCGCACCACTGTACCCAACAACAGGCTCTAAAAAGATCTCTTCCATCTGGACTACCAAACTCCATCCTAGTTACTTACTCTTCATTTTTGACAGAAAATAACCTAGTCCGTGAGACAGGCACATGTAATAATTCCCAAAATGTTAAAAGAAGCTTATAATACAGAAATGGAGACATTACTAATAATATTAGCATATTAGCAGTAATATCTAAACAGAGTAAAGGAAGTGACATGCTATCCAATTTAAGGGAAGAGGAGATTAAGGAACTTAAAAAGTCTGTAAGGCCTTGTTGGGGAAACAAATCTGGCAGAAAAGATTTCCCCAAAAGAACAAACAATTAACTCTAAATTAGAAAGGGGAGAAGATATGGTAGAGGTAAAGGAAGTAAAAAGATTTGATCAAAACTTTATGAATCAGACACTGCTTTACAAGTGGCTTGCAAATCTAAATCTTAAAGCAGCAGAGGGGACAAAAATGGGGTATGCAAACTGTGACTTCTTGGCTTTTTTCCACCCACCGCTACAAGCAAAATAGTTTTCAAAATAAACACAAGTCTCATAGAATGATTTCCCTACTTCAAATCCAGTATTTAGCCATCTTGAGAGATTTCTAAATAATTATATAGTTATTTAAAAAAGCATATACTGGGTTAAAAAAAAGTAAAGAGGACAGAGAACAATCAACAGTATCACAAATAATCATTAGGACAAAATAAACAAGAAGAGAAAAACATTTCATACCATAGATGAAACTACAACAACAACAAAAAAACCCTTAAGATTTGTGCACCCCTAAACTAAGCAGTAACCGTTGTGACTGTCTGATTTTACCAACCCCGGCGTCTTCAGCCTTAGCATCTTTCGACTAAAATACCTCTCTCCTAAGATTCTTATCGTCTATTAGTTCTTTAGACCCAACCTCTCTTTTTTTAAAAAAATTTTTATTAGTGAGACATCATGAGGTACAGTTGCAGACTTACAAATTTTTGTGCTTGGGTTTCAATTATACAATGATCAAATACCCATCCCTCCACCAGTGCCCATTACCCACCACCACGGATCCCAGTATCCTTCCCACCCCCCATCCTGCCTCTGTGGCAGGGCATTCCCTTTTGTTCTCTCTCTCTTACTGGGTGTTGTGGTTTGCAAAAGAGGCAATGGGTGACAATCATGTTCGGTCCATAGTCTACTTTCAGCATGCGTCTCCCATCCTGGGAGGATCCTCCCAACACCTTTATTTGGTGTTCCCTTCTCTATTAGAGCTCCCTTTTCCCCTAGCATGTGTGGTTGGCCTCCAAGACATGGAGTCAAGTTCCTGGTACTAATCTCAGCCATTCTTGGGTGTTAGTCTCCTATTTTGTTATTTTATAAACCCAACCTCTCTTAAAAAATCTAACATTTAAATTCCCCTTTTCTCCTGTCAGAGAGAATTAAAAATTTTTAATAAAAGAATCAGTGACAGGCCAGAATGATTGTACAGTAGGTAGGATGCTTGTCTTGCACACGGCCAAACTGAGTTCTGTCCCAGTACCCTACATGGTACCCCAAGCCTGCCAAAAGTGTTCCCTAAGCACAAAGCCAGGAGTGGCCCAAAACAACAAAACAATAAAAACAAACAAAAAAAAATCCAAAAAATGAATCAGTGATTAATGAAATCTGTAACATTAAAAAATGTCAAACGTTATGTACCAGAGAGCATGTCATACTTTATATTATATTGTTTTATCTAATGTCCTTAGACTGCAGAGTACCTTGGTTCTAAAATTCAACCTATACTCATGTAGGTAACCCAAAACTTTAATAATCTGTTTTTCAGTGTCAGAATTCTAACTTTAGAATCTTCAAAGTCAAAAGAAACACAGCCACATATTTTGCTGTCCTGACTTTGTTGAGCACTGTTTTAGTAAACAACCTTTCCCTCCTACTTAATCTCGTTCACTGACCTCGCTTGCTTCCCTACAATAAATCTTCTTTATAGGTCTATAAAAAGGTCCTCCTCTTTACAATAAACTTCATACCTCCACCCTTAGGCAGATAAAACAACTTAAACCACACCCAGTTCTACTCTCTCACTCACTCTCTAACCAACCATAAAAGACTAGGAAAGGATTAAAGAGCCATAAATAGGAACTCCGACAGGGAAGGGGACTAAAGAGGGAAACTGAACATTCTAAGGACTGCAAATTAGGCCAGAGAGGTAGATCTTCAGAAGAATGATGTCAACTGCATCTGGTAACATGAGTGATAAGATTAATGCCAACTGATCTGACAAAAGAAATGAGAGGCAGAGAGATAGTGTGATCTGAGAATTCCTGTCATTCCACAAAAATCACAAGGTGAATTCCTAATATCCACTGAGATGGTATCAGGAGGAGGCCTTTTGAAGGTGGTCATGAATGGGAGGAGGGAAACCCTAGATATCCTTTCCCCAGCACCAAGGGAAGACTCAGGGAGACAGCAACATCATGAAAGAGGCCCTCAACCCACCGCTGCTGACTCCTGATGTCAGATTAACTTTTGAGAACAGCAGGAATAAATTTCTCCCATTTATAAACTGCCAAATGAAACTTTGGTATTTTGTTATAGCAGAATGTCAATGACATCAATTACATTAAGGAATGCTAGGATGCAAAAATTAACATCAACTGATTTGATAATGCTAAGAAATTTAAAAAAGGAAAGACAGATGATAGTAAATTTAAAAAGGAAGAAATTAAAAAATAATGACTAAAATAAACAAATAATGACTAAAATAGCACTGTAGCACCATCCTCCCAGTGTTCATCGATTTGCTCGAGCAGGCACCAGTAACGTTTCCATTGTAAAACTTGTTGTTATTGTTCTTGTCATATTGAATACGCCACGGGGAGCTTGCCAGGCTCTGCCATGCAGGCAAGATACTCTCGGTAGCTTGCTAGGCTCTCCGAGAGGGACAGAGGAATGGAACCCAGGTCAGCCACATGCAAGGTAAATGCCCTACCTGCTGTATTATCACTCCAGCCCGACTAAAATAGAGGAGGGGGGGAATATATAATAATAAACTAAAATAGAGGGGGAAAAAATCAACAGAGAATAAATACCATATTACTGACTGAGGACCAGGCACTTGGCTCAAGTGGTCAAGAGCCCATCTTGTACGCACAAAGCTCTGGGGCCTATTCCCAGCCTCACGTGGCCCCAGGGGCATCTGCAAGTGTGGCCCTGGATGCCCCTGAGTGCTCCAGGAAGAGGTTCCACACAATAAAAAACATAAGGAGAAAGGTGAAAAGGAAAGACTTTGTTTATTCTTGTCTTGACTATCAAATTTCCCCTGCATAAAAGCTTCAAAAAAATAATCAGTAACTTGCATAATACGGTATCTTTTTACAAAACCAAAAATTCTGTCTCACATATTTTTTCTTTCCTTCTTATTTGGGAGGAAAAGTGAGCACAGGGGTTTATGCCAGATCCACTGGTGCTCAGCTACCCTTGCTCAGTGCTCCGAGGTCAATCTTGTCGGTGTCTGAAAGACTATGTGTACCAGAGGTTGAAACACAGGCTTGCTGCTCACGGTCCAGTCAGTTGAGCTATTTCTCCAACCAAAATGTTGGCATTTCTTTGTTTTGTTCCTCAGGGATGGGGAAAGGAGTCATACATGCAACGCGAGTGCTCTACCACTGCGCAACATCCCCAGTTCTTTCTCTGCTCTCCTTACCCTATCATTTTACAACCCTGTACCTAGGGCTTTATCCCTTAGATCATCCCTTAGACTATATCTATCTATCTATCTATCTATAATTTTTTTTGGGGGGGAAGGGCAGTTTGGAGCCATACTTGGCTGTTAGGGCATATTCCTGCCTCTGTGATCAGGGATCATTCCTGGCAGACTCAGGAGTCCATATGGAACATCACTGTATCACTGTCATCCTGTTGTTCATCGATTTACTAGAGTGGCCGCCAGGAACATCTCCATTCGTTCCAGCCCTGAGATTTTAGCAGCCTCTCCTTACTGCCGTGCTGGAGGCTCTTTCAGGGTCAGGGGAATGAGACCCATTATTGTTACTGTTTTTGCCATATCAAATATGCCACGGGCAGCTTGCCAGGCTCTGCCGTGCCATATGGGATATAAGGAATTAAACCTTATGTATAAGGATTGGCCGCATGCAAGGAAAGCACCCTGCCCATTGTTCTACTGTTCCAGCCCAATCCCTTAGATTACTTCTAAAAGACTCCCTATTCTAAAACTATCCACCTACAACTATATGCTCAGGAATTACCCCTGTGAGGCTGTGGGACCACATGCAGTGCTGTGAATTGAATACATACTTGCTGTACAAGGTAAGCGCTGTAAGAGCCTTAAGCATCTACTCTCTTTGACACACACACCACCTCTCCTCCCCCAGTAATTTTTTTCATTTCTTTATTGAACATCAATGCCTTATACTGTATGTGTGAGGCCTTGGATCCTGTCCCTGACACCGGGCCCTCACTCCAGAACCCCCCTACAAAAAGCCTTTTCAGGTGGCTGCCCCAAGTCACTCCCTTTTTATTGCCCAGGGCAACTAGGTATGGACACACTGATGACACAACTATTTCTAGGAGTTCATGCCATACATTCTCCTCCTACTCTTAGAATTTATTGATAACAAAAGATGCCCTGCCTTCATGTCAGCCCTCTCCCCACCATACCACATAATTTATTTTACAAATTAAACCTTCAAGATCCACTAAATATCGTAACACAACTTTTTTTTTGCTCTGCCTTTTTTTTTAAATTTTTATTAGTGAAACACCATGTGGTACAGCTGTAGACTTACAAATTTTTGTGCTTGGGTTTCACTTATACAATGATCGAGTACCCATCCCTCCACCAGTGCCCATTTTCCACCACCACTGATCCCAGTATCCCTCCCACCCCCCATCCCCCCTGCCTCTGTGGCAGGGCATTCCCTTTTGTTCTCTCTCTCCTTTTGGGTGCTGATAACACAACTTTTAAATATCTGACATGTGTAAGAATTCTGCTTGGCATGATATAGTTCTACAGCCACTGTTCAAGAAAGGGCAAGTACACGGTATTCTTTTAAATTTTTCATTTCTTTATCGCTAAGGGCATGTGTTTATAATGATGGTTACCTTGTGGGGTTGTGGTACAATTATACCTCACCACCATACTCCTGAATAACAGAAAAATCACGATCACAATCACGATCATCCTGTTGTTTGTCGATTGCCTCGAACAGGCACCAGTAACGTCTCCTTCGTCCTAGCCCTGAGAAATGCTCTTTCAGAGTTAGGAGAATGAGACCCATCATTGTTACTGGTATTTGGCATATTGAGTATGCCACGGGGAGTTTGCCAGACTCTGCTGTAACAGGAAAAAAATGTCTCTAAAACGTATCTTTAGGGAGACTACTCTGAGAGACTGGTTTTTGTTCTTAATCTCTACATCTCAAAGCAGAGCCTACTTATCACAATGATATTACTTCTAGATTACTCCAATCTGGGTGGTGCTACGGTCCAGACCAGGGCCTCACACACACAAAGCAAGTGCTCTATAACTGAGGTACATCCCCAGTTCTAGATTACTTCAGTTTCAATGCTCACTTACTAATATAATTCAACAGTGTTGTACAAGAAGTAAAGAAAACAGCTATCACAGAAGCCAATCAATAGAATTCCACATTTCCTAAGCTCTGTGATGATAAACTATTATGTTCTAAAACTAATAAGTATCTCAACTGAGTGCACAGCACTTTACTATATTTTATCTCATTGCTTAAATTCATTTCCTTGAAAGATGAAGCAAATTTTGCTTAACATAAAGTACTGAAAAGGAGCAAGTGAAGAGAAAATGAGAAACACTTACTGCTCTGGCAGCTTCCCCGAAGTCAATCTTCAGCCGCCCCATGGCTCTTATGATTGCAATGATGGACTGAATAGTATTGCTGTAGACAACTACCTTGTACTGCTTACATTCTTCCTCTGAATAGCCATCCTCATGGATGATTCTTTGAAACAAAAATCAAAACTCACAAATCAATATCACATGCCTAAAAGGGAACGATACTCTGGACTCTTAAGCTTTAAGTGAAAATGCATTATAAAAGGCCATGTTCCAACTTACTTCATCTGTTTCACAATGGTGCTTTTACCAGATTCTCCAGCACCTGAAAGAAAACCAAACTCTGAATTAATCTGTAATCACACACAAAAGTATAAGCTCAATCTAAGTCTATATTAGTAAAAAAAAACACACATTCCAGAGAAAACAGTGGTGGAAATTCCAGTTAAAAAAACTACTGAGCGTCTCCCTTAAAGTACTTCACTTCCTTCGTCTATACCTCAACAACCAAATATAAGTCACTGAAAGTGTTCCAGGGCCTACTTGTATCACACAGGTATTCTAAAGGAGACATAGCAACATAATACCTGTATGAACCCATTCTCTAAATGAAACATGGTGAAGACACTGAATATACACTGAAATTAAACTGAAGTATTAAAAAAATTTCATTTTTTTGGCCAAATATAAACTGTATCACAATATAATTCTGTCTCCAAACCATCCTATGGCTTTTAATTATCCAAAATAAAATCAATGAGGAATAAAATGTCCCCAACACACCACCAAAGTGACTCTAGAGCATTCTACCAGCTATAGCCCCCTGCACCAGAAAGCTGACCTTGTAGCTCCCTGAACCACTGGTCCAAAGCAGCTTGGGCATGGCATAGCCAGGTCCAAGCACCAAACCTCAGACCTATTATATTGCCTATGTAACACTATTGCCAGCTCCTAGGAGAATCTCTGGGGATAGCCTGGGGCTTCAGCACAACTGGGGAAGTCAACGCAAAGCAAGAGGCTAGAAAGACAGCTCAATAGGTTGAGCCCATGTTTCACAGGACAGGCTTAGGTTCAATCCCTGGCTATGGGAACTCCTGAGCACTGACCCAGAAGTAACCTCCAAACACTGCTGCGTGTGACCTGAAACAAAAACCAATCAAAACAACAACAAAAAATGGGCTTAATGGATAAGGATGTTTGCCTTATTCTGGCCTATTAGAGTCTGAACCTGGTTACTACATGTGGTTCCCTGAATACCACCAGTGGTAAGCCTTGAATATAATCAGATATGGCCAACCCGCTCCCAGCCCGTGATCACAGAGAAAATGAAACAAAAGACAAAACCCAAAATTTTGAGGCCCTGGGTTCAAACACACACACACACACACACACACACACCACCACCACCACCACCACCACCACCACCACCACCACCACACACGGAAGAAGATGGCCAGTCTGTCCCTTTTATTATAACACTATGATTACCTAAGCTTTTACTAGACCTCTGAACACTGACCACAGAATCAAATACAGATTTTGCTCAATGGCATTTGCTCAAATACAGAATGAATGACTTTATACCAAAGCTGTTTGACCGATTCAGCTTCTAGATCACCAGGAAAAGTGTCATCAACTCAACTCTCTTCCAACTATGAAACTTAAGAGTCATCTAGAATCTACCCCTTCTCTCCTTACCTCAAGCTGTAACAAAACCTCCTCTCATGCATTTCTCAAATTAATCCTCTCTACTCCTCACTCATCTGAGCCTGCCATTGCACATTTTATATGAAACTACTGTTATTTTCTCAAGCCTCTAGTTTAAAATTCTTCCTTCTCATTACTTCCAATAGTACTACCAGAAATGATCTAACTGAAACTGATCTAACAATTCCCAATTGCTTAGTAGTTAATGCACTTGTAATTAACATCTCACTCAGATTTCCCCCAAGCTGCTTCCCATTTTTATCTTGCTTCCCCCACCATATGTGATCTTTGGAAAGTCCCTCCTCTTTTCTCTATTTTAACATCTCCTTCCTTCATCACAAGTTAAGGGGAGATTCATCTGCCCATCTTCATTCTAGCAGGGTATTAAGATTCCAAAGACTAAAGGGAGCAAAGGAATTTCAAAAAAACAGAATCTATGGGTTGGAGAGGGAAGAAATGGGAAGATGACTAGTGAAACTGCGTAGCAGATAAGACATACAGAGAGCGTCATAGAGATTGGAGGGTAAGGTCCCAGGATCTGAAGACAGTACAGCAGCTGGGACACACTGAAACTAGGTTGATTTCCCAGCACAAAGTAGTCCCCTAAGGATTACCAGAAGCAGCCCTTGAGGTCCCCAGTACCACCCAAGTGGCCCTGGATGCCCCCAGTACAACTGGAGTTGTCCAGGTGTCCTTGGCACTGCAGGGTCTGAACAGCATAGCATGGGCTCTTGCACTGAGCCACTGACCTGGCTGGCCAAGAATCAATGGTGGGGTACACCAGACCTCCTGTGAATTACTTAGGAGCACCCACTGCCCCCCCCAATTCAAGAATGTATACCAAAAGGGCAGCCTACATAAATGGGAAGAAAAGGATGAAGGGGAAAGCGGGAGATTTTTGAAAAAGGAAAAGTAGAGGCTAAGTGATCTTAATAAAAGGAAGGCAATAGAGAATAAAGGTGTAGAATAAATTTAGAAAATAAACAGTACAAGAGTATATACAGTTAGCATATGTTATCACCAACGTAGTTAGACAAAACAATGATTCACTGGCATATACTCTGGCATGAATCATTTTCTTTTCCCAAGTATGTTCTTAATTTTAAAGGAACTCCTTGAGAGCAAGTACCATATCATAAACCTTTCTATTTCTTTCCCTATAATTATTCCCTATAATACATATATATATATATATATATATATATGTATAGCAGCCCACGGCAGAGCCTGGCAAGCTATCCATGGTGTATTCGATATGCCAAAACAGTAACAATAATGGGTCTCATTCCCCTGACCCTGAAAGAGCCTCCAATATGGCAGCGTTGGGAAAGAAGAATAAGGAGAGGCTGCTAAAATCTCAGGGTTGGGACGAATGGAGACATTACTGGTGCCCGTTCAAGTGAACGATGAACAACGTGATGACAGTGATAGTGATAATAATACAGCAGTCATGAAAAATAAAGAGATGATAATGGATTTTTTGCAAGGTATTTTTTAAGCCAGAGAATGAAAAAGTTAATTTAAGTAAGTAATGAGTAAAATAAGTTCAGCTCACTTAAGACCAATTTAAAAATGAATCTAAGGAGGCCTGGAGAGATGGTATAGTAGGTAAGGTCCTTGCCATGCATGAGGTTGACCCAGGTTTAATCCCTTGGCATCCCATATGGTCCCGAGTATGTGATCCCAAAACAAAACAAATTAACTTTAGGACTAGAGTAACAGTAGGGATTAAGGCTCTTGTCCTCTATACAGTCAAACCCAGTCTGATCCCCAGGGCTGCCAATGGTTCCCCAAGCACCACCAAGGCGGCCATAAACCCCAGAATAAACTTTTTTTTAATTCTATAAAATGGGTGATACTTAAAAAACAGAAGACACCTCATATCTTCTCCTTTTTCTTGTTAAATTTGACGTAAAGAAAAGCAGTCTGAAAAAGGTACCTGATGTTTTACTCTTCTATGCCTTTAGACAGATTAAACCTCCCTCCATGTAAAATACAAGTGAACAGATGATGTTTAGTGAAGTGTCTGGCACATACTAAGTATTCAGTAAATGTGAACCAGCTATTATTTACGAAAACCATCTTCACTGTTCTGGAATGCCACCAAGTAATGCTAAGGTCCAAAGAGTCTAAAAAAAGAAAAAGGAAAAAATATTCTTCCCCATCTCCCCTCCATTTTTAAACACCATGGTTTACAAAGTTTTTCATGATGATTTATTACAGGTATTCAATATGCCAACACCAATTCCACCACTGCTGCCACCTTCCCTCCACCACTGGGGAAAAATATTCTTGGATTATAATTAATGCTGGTTCAAAACCCCAGTGCAAAAAGGTCTATTTAACAGCTGCTTCAAAATAAAAAAAAACCCTAGATAGAATCTGAATTCACACACTTAACAGAAACTTATAACCTAAAAGCTACAGCAAATTACGTCAAAGGATTAGTCATTTTCTCCACCCCACCCCCAAAAAAACACACTCTTTCCCTTAAATACATTTCAGTCCAAATTACCCGTCTACTCCCTCCTCTCCCACACTCCTACCCATCTGTTCTTTGATCGTTTCCCCCACCAGGACACCCTGCACCCTTCCGCGAGCTTCCCTCACAGGTCTCTGCGCCAAATGCCCCCTTTTTTTCTTTAAAATACAAATTTCTGATGAGAAATCTTGAAATTCCTAAAAGCTCAAGATTACAACAAGAGCACAGTCCCTTTCCTGGAGCTTTAGAGAGGTAGGTGTCTATATGGCACTGTAGCACTATCCTCCCGTTGCCATGACTTGCTCGAGCAGGCCCAGTAACATTGTGAGACTTGTTACTGTGTTTGGCATAGCCAATACATCACAGGCAGCTCTCGGTAGCTTGCCAGGCTCTCCGAGAGTGGTGGAGGAATCAAACTCGGGTCGGCCGACCAGCCTCATGCAAGGAAAACACCCTACGCACTGTGCTATCGCTCCAGCCCATAAATGGCTCTATTTTGGGAAAATCCTCTTGTTAGTGTTACATTCTAATACTGCCCCTTATTTCCAGACATATGGGAACTTATGAAGACAGTAAGAATTAGCCTCTCTCACAGCAAGCTGAAAGTATGCTCTGTAAATAAAAGGTCTCTTTTCTAGCTTATTTTCTAGCTTTTTTCATGTAAAACAGACACCTAAAAAGATTTTTAATGATCAGATGTAGTAATAAACTCTGTGGAAGTATCCATTTTAGTCCTAGATCTATTATGACTAGCTGTGACTTGGTCAAGTTATAATGCATAGCTCCCCATATAGAAAATAGGAAGCTTTGCCCTAGATGCTCTACTCTATGATTAAATCTGCAATCGTGACACACGATGCCTCACATAAAACAAGACTCTGTGAACCCAACAAGCCAAGATAGCTAACTAATACAGTGATCAATATGTTCATTAAGCATGTACTCTCAGACCAAGAGGGGCTAAAGAAAGAATTAAAGAAAGTGTGCAGCAATAGTAGAGAAGTTTTGTGGAAGACAATTTGGGGGGCAGTGGGGAGGCAGGAAAGAGTAGAGTGTGGCAGTGCTAAGGGATCATTCCTGGCAGGACTCAAGGGACATATAGGGTGCCAGTGATGAAACCCGGGTCAGCCACACGC